TGATGGATGTTTGGGTTGTTACCACCTTTCAGCCGCTATTGTGAATAATGCAGCTATGAATGTTGGTACAGAAATATCTCTCTAAGTTCCTGCTTTCAGTTATTTCCCCAGAAATGAAATTTTTGGATCATATTTTTTTTGAGGAATCACCATACTGTACCACTTTACTTCCCCCTCAGCAATGCACAAGGGTTCCATTCTTCCCAACACTTGGTATTGTATCTTTAAAAAAATAGTCATCCTATTGAATATGAAATGATATTTCATTGTGGTCATTATTTGCATTTCCCATCATTGGTGATACCGAGCATCTTGTCATGTGCTTATGGGTCATCTTTGGAGAAATGTCTATTGTAAGTCATTGACCCTTTTTAGCTTGTAGTCAGCTGTTTGTTTTCTGTTGTTGATTTGCTGGTGTTTTTAAAATACATATTCTGGATGTTATCCTGGTGTCAGACACATGATATATAAATATTCTTCTTTCACTCCATGGGTTGCCTTTTCCTGTTGGCAATGTCTCCTGATGCTCAAACATCTTTCATTTTGGTGAGGTCCAGTTTGACCATCTGCTTGGTTGCCTGTGCTTTTAGTGTCATGTCCAAGAAATCATTGTCATTGTCATTGTCATGAAGCTTTTCCCATTTTCCTATAAAAGTTTTATAGTTTTAGTTTTTGTATCATTACCTCTTGGATCCATTTTGAGTTAATGTTTGTATATGGTGCAAGGTAAGTATCCAACTTCATTCTTTTGCATATAGATATCCAGTTTTGCTAACATTACTTGAGAAAATCTTTTGATCATATATGTGAGGTTCATTTCTGGACTTTCTATTCTAGTTCATTGGTCTCTATGTTTCTGTTTATTTAGTCTACATGCCAGGCCACACTGTCTTAGTTATTTTAACTTTTTAGTAGTTTTTCAAATAAGGAGTATGAGACCTGAAAGATTTCTTCCAAGTTAAGCTTCTTAGCAATAGCATTTCATATCACAATAAAAGTGTTTTGCTCCTTCAGTGCATCTTACCATCTCAAGGGGCTATCCCCGACTACCCTGTTTAAGTTAGAACTCCCCCCATCTCTTATATTCCCTACTTGACAAAATGTGCACCATAATAGAGAATATCAGAAGATATTCTTAGAGACCTAGAGAAGATGGTCAGAGGTGGTCTCTTGAGATAGTAACATTTTTGCTGAGAGCAAAAGTATGGGGAGGATTTTGATAAGCATTGTACAGAACTTATTTATTGAAATCATCTGAGATCACCCTGGCTTAAACTGAGGACGCCCAGTAAGGCCTCTTTTAAAAGGTGGCATCTGAAGATGAAAGTCAGTCAGCAGGTTTGAGTGGCATTGGCCACAGAGCATGGAGTCTCATGGAGGAGGAATCAAATATTTGAAGATCCAAAAAGAGGAAGTCAGAGAAGTATAAGAACCTCAAAACCATATGATTTTGGCTTAAGCAGCAGCAGTAAGTGGGGTGGGGGATACATCTGGAGAGGTTGAAGGGCCAGGTTTTAAATATTTTTTTAAACCATGTTACCTATTTTGATTTCTGAGAGTACAGAAAACTACCAAAAGCAGATTCGCACACTACTTTGACTGGAAAATTGAGAAGATTTTGAAAAGGATGAAGAGTCGATGCAGAGAATATCAGTTGGGAGTTCAGGGCAACGAAGATGGAGCTTGTGCTAGTGGCTATGGTGGAGACAGAGAGAAGGGAACGTGTTGGAGAGATGTTTTGGAGGTTGGGTTGACAAGATTTTGCAATAACTATGATGGGAGTTGAGAATGGGGAGGAACCAGGGATGAACTCAGTTTCTGGCTTGTGAAACTGGGTATATTTCAGAGGCATTCATTAAAACAGGGAGCACTGAAAGGGGAGGACTTTAATGAGGGTGAGGATGGAGATTTTGAGGTTGAGTTTGAAATGGCTAGAAGATACATAGAAGTAAATGTCACCAAGGAGGTGACATAGACAAGTCCAGGCCTAAGAACCTGTAGTAGATGAGAGTACAGTGCTGGAGACAAGTATTCAAGCATCTGTGGCCAACAGGTGGTGACAGACACGATGGGAATTGATGAGCTTACCCGAGCGTAGAGTGGACAGTGGGGTGAACGTGATAGGCTAGGATCAACGCTCAAGGAATGCCCCCATTCTGGTCGGGTAAAGGAAGCAGAGCTGGAAAAGGCAGACAGATAAAGACTGATAATGCAAATGGGAGGAAATCAGCAGAATGGTGTCATAAAGCCAAGGAAAGAGAGTTGTAAAAGGAAGAAATAGCCAGGAGTGGCAAATGCTGCTGAGTAGTCATACAAGAAAAATACTGGAAAAGTGCTTGTTGGCTTGATTGAAATGGACAGTTTTTAGTGTTTAGTGTTATGCATGAAGTTAGTACACTAGAGTTATGGTATATAAATGATTTGGAGATAGTTGGATTAAATGGGAGGTGAAGATAAGAAACAGCAAGTGATTTATTTAAGAAGTTTATGAAAGAAGGGAGAAAAGATAGAAGCTCAAGGGAGAGATGGGGCTAAAAGAGTTTTTTTGTTTGACTTTTTAAAAAGAAACAGGTTAATCTCATATGTATTTCAAAATTTTTCTCAAACATCATTACTAACTTTCACCATTGGCATATGAAACTGCTTGCATCACTAAGACAGAACATTATTGTTTGCAGTCATATTTAAGCCCTGCTAAGACAGGGATTATTTTTTATATCTTTGTTCTTTGCTGTCTATCAGTACCTAGAATATTGCTTGGCACATAGTCAGTGCTCAATAAATACCTGTGGAATGAGTGAATAAATGGATGACTGATACATATTTGTTAAATTGAGATGTACAAATGATATCTCATTATTGCTTTAGTGTGAAAGTCTTTTTCAACTAGTAATCTCATGCCTACAGGTCCCCATTAAAACTGTGACCTCCTCAGTGGGAAGAGCTATGATTTGTTAATCTGTGGATCTTTATCATCATGTCCAAAGTTTAGCACTCAAACGTATTTGTGCAGAACAACCAATTTTCTGCCTTACCCCTCGGGAAAGAGTCAAGTAACAACCTAGAGTCCATGGGACACAGCCTAGAGAGCTTGTTTTCAGCTCATAAACATTAGTTTACTTAAGCAAATAAGTATTTATATCTTTAAAAATAATCCTGTATCGGGATTAAAATCAGTGGTCCTCACTTGACTGTGGCAAGTCGTTCTCAGCGGTGTAAGGTGTCCTCAGCTGGTGCTGCAGAGAATGTGCTGGCTTTAAGGCAATTAAAATGCTGTTCTCGGATACTTTCAGAAAACACAGGAAGAGAATCACAAAGTTAGGATGTAAAAAAATAGCAACTGAGGACTGCTGTACTATCATGGAGGACTAGCTAAGAAAGAAAAGGGGCCAAGTTCTGCTTGACATGTAAAACACCCAAGGCCATCATTTTCCTTGTGTTGACAAACCGCTATCCCAGCTGCATTTCTCAAATTAACAAAACCAGGCTACAAAACTGTTAGAGAAATACAAGTAGTGTCTAGCAGAAAACCCAGGACCATTTCTTACTGCATTTCTTGTAGGGGCTTTCTATTTACAATGCAGCTCAGACCATTTTGGGAGGAAAACACTGCTTTAGAACAGAAAGATGCACAGCTATTTTGGGCTAAATGGATAAGTATCTAAATCTGCTAGATGAAGAAAATATGCTGGGTAAAATATTATTGATTGTCCATCTTCTTTTTTTTTACTTTACACAAAAGAGGTCATTTACGGCTCAGTGCAAAATGAACAATCTCTTTGCAGAAAAAGCAACCCATTTCTTCTGCACACATAATCACAAATCTGCACGGTAATTGAAATATTTATTCATTTATAGTTTATTTGTGTTCTCCATTTGCCTGTGGCTGCGCCTCTGAAGGTATAGTGAAGAGGATTGTTGCCAATTTGATTAGTGCGGTGAGCTGGTATACTCAGGATGAACCCCCTCACACTTCTTCTTTCATGCCTCATGAAAGTTATTAATGGTTCAATCTTAACAACTTACGAAGTGGAGACTGATTAGAATATGGCTTGATTACAATATAAAGTCACAAGTCATTCATTTAGTTATAGTTTCTCAGTTAAAAGGGAATGTAACAATTATTAATTTCAGTGATCACTGGTTTGTTCTTTACAGCTCTGCCAGTGAATTGTCTAGAATTGGCTTGCATGCCCCCAGTGATGAAAATCTCATTACCTAATGGGAAAATCCTGTCTAGCTTCTGACAAGTCTGATTTTTTGGAAATTTTTTCTTACAGTAAACCAAAATCACTTCTCTTGAACTATATTTTATGATTGTTGTTCCAATTACTATGGATATATAAAAATTTCCTCTTTCATATAACAAGATATTATATATTTAAAATATATAACATAATTCATCTAGGTACTTTCTTATCAGGGAAAACATTCACAGTTGACTCGACTTCAATATAATTCATGATCTCAGTCACTATTATATCAATGTTTTTTTAAAAATACAGCTTCAGCACAGAATTCATTATTCCAGCTGTGGCCTGACCAACACTGAAAAGAACTATCCTACCACTCCTTGTGTTTTAGATGCACTGTTAATTTAGTCCAAGATTGTATTTGTTTTGATAGTCACATCAGTTTATTGATCTATGTTGAATATACCTACAACCATTCTTTGCCCATAAAGCACAGCTAAACCGTGCCTCTCCCATTCTGTACCTGTCTGATTTGTTTATGAACTAGGATGATAAAACTTACATCTCACTTCATTCAATGTTAACTTGTAAGATGCAGGCCATTTTTGTACTCTTTTGGTAATATATGCTTTGATCAGTTTCTCACATCTAATCTCCTCATCTTTGCCGGCTCCTCATCACCTCCAGGTGTGAAGCACAGAACTTAATCATGCAGGTCATTGACTGATACATTAAACTTCGGCATTCCCTCTAGGTGGGCATGATTTCATAGATCAGACACCTTGGAGACAAGGTCATTGGACTAATTTCAAACCTGTAAATATCACATTGCAGTTAAGATCATGTGTTGAAAAGTCAGAGACCCTGGACATGATTCCCAAACCTTTGATCCTTCAACTTTATGGTCTTGTTACTGTTAAAAGAAATAATGTATCCACCTCTCAGAATCGGAGAAACACTTTAAATGGGATGGAGTATGTAAATTAATCCTGGCTATCTTCATCATTGTATTATTTAGGAAAACAGTAGCTGTGATAAAAAAAAATAACTCCAAGATTTTAGTGCTATAAACAGTCCAGTGTGAGTTGTTCTGGTTGCAGATGGCTGTCTTCTGTGTTGTGTTGCAGGGACCCAGGCTGTTTTCATATGGTCTTAGCCATCCCCTAAGATCTCCATGTCTTCTTTATCTAGGTAGAAGAATCTAAAAAGAGGGTGGAAAAGGCATCACTTCATAACTTCATGGCCTAGATGTGAAATAGCTCACTCGAACTCATATTCCACTGGGGAGAACTAATCGTGACCTCTCCCAGCTGCCAGGATTGGGCAGGAAATGCAGTTCCAGGCAGGGCAGCCACTTCCCACGGTTAGCTCAATACTCAGTAAATGAGAGCACAGGTTTGGTGAAAACTTTACCATCTCTGCCACAATCACTACCATCGCGATTACAACTGCTCCTTTATTAAACCATATGCAGCTCATATTCCTCTATCTTGTTTAGTGACATTCTGAAGCATCTATGAAAAAAAAAGACCTGCCTGAAATTTCATCATGCCCTTTCTACATATTGAAAGGTTTTGAGGCATCATGAAATTATCACAGAAAACAAAAAAAAATATGATAGGTAATTCAGGCTTATACCTCCTGACAGGCCTAGAGTTGTCCTGAATTGAAACGAGGGATGCAGGTATATCATAGCCTGGTTGTAGTGATGGGCAGACATAAAATGAGTTGACCATTGGCACGTCGATCCTCCACAGAGAAAGAACCTCACTTGTGTATAGTAACAAAATCCTTTAATTCAAATTGTTAATTTAAAATAACTTCCTAAATCTATTAATTGCCTTCCTTATCTTAGTATATACCATTATTTTTTCATATTTTAAGGTATTAAAACTCTCCCATGGATATCATTCTGACCATTTATAATGATCAATTACTATGTTATTATATATAAACACACACACACACATATATATATATATATATATATATATATATATAATCATGTAGGATTTAGAATACTCAGATATGTACTGTAAAGAAAAAAAGCAAGACATTGCCAGTACTCATCAGGTAGAGATGATGACAGCTTAAATTTCTGGAGTATTTCTAGCACTTTTCCCAATGAACGGCTGTATTACGTTCTTGGTAAGTGTAAGCAGATCATTGTTCGCTCAGGCATTCCCCATTACAGGGGGCGGGGCTGTATGATTATTGCTGCGTGTGCCACACTACACTGCTGCAGCCTTAGCCTCCTGCTCCTTTCATTTCGCCCACTTATTTACTTGGCATAGTTGTTAATTGAGGGTTCTTATATTTTTAGGGCACTTGAAGCTGAGCATGATTAATTATAAAGCACTGAGCTACAGTAAACACATGGCCTGAACAAGCATTTGCTTGGTGCCTGCTGCCTCAAACACGATCACTGTGGTGTCTGATGTAAACCTTAACTGAACAGCCCTGGGAGCGCTGTGCTATATGCTAAGGGCCAACTCACTTTAAGGGACCAAGAGTAGGTTTGCCAGGTCTACAGAACACACAGAATGTTTTGTACAAGTGAAAATGGGTAAAAAACTAGGATCAAAGGCAGGCTGGTTAAGGAATAAAGTCACACGAGATTAATCTGAAACCGAGTAGGATGCTGAGAGAAGGGGGAGGGAGGGGAAAAGGGCCCGTCTGTTTGGCCTTGGTGTTGGCACGTGGGAGGTGAAGGAGCTGATGGCTGACAGCCCCATTTGACAGAATCCCTGCCTGTTCCCCACATTCATTGCCTAGCTACTTGTCACACTCAGCAAGATCGTCCCATGCTCATGGCCTAAAGCACACCACTGCAGTAGGTGGAATTCAAGGTTCCCAACCCTGGCTGTTCAAACTCTAATTGATACACTGCTTGAAGGGTCTTTATAGATGGAGCTAAGATTGCTGTTCACCCTTAAAGTAGGGCATTAGTCTTGGGTTATCTCAATGGCACAGTGTAGTCACATGAGCTCTTAAAAGCAACATTACAAAGCAGAAGGGAGACTCAGAGAAGAGATGAGGCAGAAAGGAAGTCAGAGAGATTCACAGCGTGAGAGTGACTTGACCCACCATGCTTGGTCAGAAGATGGGGGAAGGGCATCCAGGTGAGCAAGGGGCCTCTGGAAGCAGAGAACAACCTTCAGACTTCACCCTGCAAGGAAATGGGCACCTCAGTCTTAAAACGGCAGGGAACTGGGTCCTGTCAACAATCAGAATGAGCCTGGGAACAGATCCTGGAAAACCAGCAGAGCCAGATTATGCCTCATTTTCTGATCACACAACTGTGAGCTAGGAACTGGGTGTTGTTTTAAGCCATTAAATTTGTGTTAATTTGTTATAGCCAAAGACAGAATACCAGTAGAGTCTCAGTCATATTTAAGCATGACTTCCTGTGCCGAGTACCCAAACCTTTGACTATACTCCTCTCTTTGTCTAAAATGGTTTTTTTTTCCTCCTTCAAGTAACCGCTACTCACCCTCTGAAACAAGTGTGTAACCTCCTTCAGGAAGTTTCCCTTGATAGGATTCGGTGTGATTTAACTGCTCTCACTCTGTGCTACCTCAGTAACCTGTGCATACCTCTGTCACTGAAGTTATGTACCAGAAATCAGTGAGTTGCTTGTGTATGTTCCTCTTAACCCTTAAATAAGTTCTGATGAGGGTTCATATCTGGTCTGACTCCACACCTTCAATGCCCATGACAGTGCACCCCTAGGGCCATGCCAGACGTGATTTTGAGACAGTGGGGGAAGTGACAGTGGTTCTCGGGCTGCTGTCGGTGAGCTGGCCCGTTATGTCCATCAGAAAAGTCGGGCAGGGATTATTGTTGCTAATTTATAGGGAAGGTATGGTGGTTACAATTCTCTAAATTTAAGTTTAATCCTATAAATTATTTTTCATACTTTTCACCACTTGCTTGTCTTTTAGGGAGAAGTAGTCCATAAAGTTACAAGAGAAAAGTAAATGACTGATCATATAAAAACTTAGGAAAAAAGGCGCTTTTTAAAAAAGTATTTTTTCATGAACTTATGTTTATGGTTGTGAATTTATATTTATATTGTAGACATATAATCTAGTACTGTAGTACTAATTGGTAGAATTCCTATTTCATGTGATAGAAATAGTGCATTGTGTTATACATTGTATTCCATTATGGGCTGTGAATGGCCCGCCGACTTCCTTGCACTCCTTTCCCTGAGTCAGGTGGAGGGTCTCTGATGTATGAAATCATGGATTTGGGGTTGTTTGCTTAACGGTTGGCCCTCTGATGTTTAACACAATGTACAACAGAAAAGAATCTGGTTAATATTTGAGGTAAAGCAGTACATTAGATCTCTTGCTCATTTTCAGACCTACCTAAAATACACATAAAAGCTCCTACTTTCTTACAGTGTTATCTTAGTGCCTTTTCTCACATGCCACCTACCACCCATTCTAACTCAAAGCCTCACTTTTAAAGCCGGTCACCAGGATGTTCTGCAGCAATTTGAGACATAAAGTGATACCCATCCGACAGAAGCTCCTGAGGGCATTTCAGCAGGCGGAATGCAGAATGATGAGCAGATGATTTGACTAGAATCTCTGCCAAAAACTTCACTTTTGTGAAAAGGGCCTTTGGGAGTGGTGATAATGAGGTGTGGTTAGGATTTTTTGACATCTGCTCTTACAGACAGCAGGGCAGACCCCCACCCTCCCTGAACCAACACCCACAGCTGAGTGGAGGAACCCCTGTTGACTTGCCCTCCACTGAACCTCGTGCTTTGATGAACATGATCAGGATATTTTCATCCTCCGGCGATTTGGGCTGGCACACCAAGAAAGGTTAGTCTAGAAAGAGGTGTCCTTCACTCTCCAACTTGTTTGTTGAATTGATAGCTGACTTTGCAAAGACTCTGGGCTGTTAAATGCACAGGGGAAGACACAGAGACTGTGGAGACACGCTTGTGTGAACTGCTTCCTGCCAAACATCCCCGGATGTTGTGTCGCACTGAACCAGCTTTCCTGTGGAACCCAGCAGGTGAAAACGAGAACGACTTACTCTTGTTATAGCCTATTTTTGCAAGGAACATATGCTTTAAAAAAATCTAGTTCTATTCAGAACCTCTGCTCAGTTTAACATAATTTTGATTAGCCACATTGTGTATCCAAGAGGTTGCATTTTATAGTCCCTAATAGAAGGGCTACTTAGCATCCTTCACTTTGTAACGATTTTGTGGAAGGAAACTAAAAGAAACAAAAGTTATACATTTGTAAAACAATAATTCAGCAATAATGGCACTAGAAAAAGCAAAATCAGTTTCACCCCCACTCTCTCCACAGCATCATTACCCCTAGTGTGTGCGCCCAGCACTTGGGAAGCACGTCCAAATTTCAGCTCCTGAGATTCAGCTTGGTCCTGGTTCTCCGGGGACTGAAAGAGTTGCCCTAGCTTTAAGCACACCTAACTTACTCCTTGGGAGTGACTGGAGAAGTGCAAGAACCTGGGAGGATATGTGAAATAAAGATCTGAACAGCAACCATGTCGCAGTTCGGCATGCTCCTTGTTTCTTACTCAGGCCAGTCAAGTTTTCTAGTACCTATTTGCTTCTCGCACAGATGGATTCTCACGAGGGAGATTTCTTAAAATTATTTAATATATATGTGATTTTTAATTGTAGACCATTTATTTGCATATTTATTTCCCCCCATATCAGTCTAATCTCGACGAAGAGAGGTAAATAGGAGAAAAATCAGGATCCTCACGATCTTTAATATTTTCTTCTGTTCCTTGGATCTATGCATAATTTTTACTTTTCCATTGCTTATTATTTTAGGTTATATACTATAAAAGTAATTTTGACTACATGCAATTTCTCTTATTATGCTCCTTTGAACTCATGTTGTTCATCTAATATTTATTTTTGTGCTTAATCAGTTATTAACCATTTGATGGTACCTGGAGAGGAGGGGCCATATATTTTCAGTGCTTAGCCCTGAATGAAATGAAAACATTTCAGTAATGTGTTTTGAATTAGTGTTATGGACCAAAGAAGGTGTAGGGAATTCAAGTTGAATACGATGGGACCTCTAACCTGGAAGAACTCATAGTCTAATGAGAAAAACAGGTGTGTTTCATTTGTGCTTGGTCTTCAGTCTTGGGTCATAAATAGAATTAAACAAAGTGAGCAGCTTTGCAGGCAAAGCACTATGCCCTAATATTTGAGACTTAATTACCTGCTGCCCTTAAAAGACCCCATTTTAGTATTTGTTTTGGGGGATGGCTGCTTAATGTACAGGGTGCAGCGTACAAGTATTGAGCCGAGAGATTCTCCGTAAGATCCTGACTCCTGTGGAGCTCTAGCCAATGATTTACTTAGCATCGATCTGTCTGTCCACTAGGCCTGAAGAAGAATCGATATAGCTAACTCTCTTTCAAGAGGCAGCTGGTGAAATTAAATCCTTATTTTAGTTGGATCTGGAATGGCTAAAGAGATAAGTAAAAGAATCCAACCTAGTACTTGGGGGAGGAAGATGCATAGAAAGCCCCTCTCCCAGAAAATGTTTGGAAGAAGGCTATGAAATACAGTAAAATGGTTGGGGACACTTTATGGGGCAGAAAGGCAAGGAGAGCCAGGTGAGCTGGCTCACCTGGGTGAGAGATCACAGGAAATTACCAGGCCAGTGTGAGCTACTTACATCTCCATGTCTGATTTCCGTTATTCCTGCTTTGGGCTCCTCTGTTCTTAGGCATGCTGTTCTGTTTTCCCTCTTAATGACTCTGGTCATATGCCATTTGGCTTTGCTTTTCTGTTTACCCTTTTGCTGCTAATCTGATTCATTTGTCCTTGTTGTTTTTCTGGTCCTACTTTCACTCTTATTCCATTTTCTTGCTTAGCTAACTCAAGAGTCCCTTATCTTGTTGAAGGGACAGAATCTGAGAGTACTGGCAGGTGAACATGGTTTCTAGAGCAACTCAGCCCTAACTGTGCTGTCCCCGGGGGCCAGAGGGCCAGGGAACTCATCAGCCTTGACCAGTTAGGTGTCCCTTGACCCTTGTCTGTGGAGGTCAGTGGATAAATAGAGGGTACTGGTGACAAGCCTCCTTGCTCCCACTGCTTTCCGTTTGTACTGGCACCTCCCACATGCGGTCTATTTGCTTAATTGTTACCTACCCTGAATACCCCCATCTTCTGCCACTATCTCCCCCTTGCCCTCCTGTTTGTTTTACCATATTCATTTTTTTCTTTTTTCTCTTGTCATTCATCATTTCACAGGATATATGTAACCTAAGTTTATTATTTAAAATTTTCTTCCCCTAGCATCTAAATGCCATATCTTTTGTTTTTCACTAACACAGCCCAAGGATCCAGAGTAGCGCTTTCGCACTTACATTATTCTTACGAAATGTTAATGAAATAAAAGAGCGAATGACTTCCATACCCATCCACATCATTACCATAATTAGGAAAGGACTTAGTTTGCATTATTAATATTTATTTAAAATATCTATTTGTGGGGACTCTTTCCTTCAATCAAGTATTATTGCAGCAAGTGGTATTTCTTTCTACAGCATGAAAAGATCAGTTCGTTACCATGAAAAAGCATATGAAGATTTGTGAGAATGGCTTTGATAAGCTTGAGATGCTAAACGAGTGCAGATTTGCTTCTGTACAAGAGTATACTCTGGGGAGTAAAGGTATTTGCCATAGGCTCACGTTATTGTAAACATGAATTTTATTAACCTGTCTGCAATGTATAAAAGACTATGACAGCACGCTACACCTGAGAGATAAAGTAAAATATTGTCCTGCTGCTCCTCCATCGCAGCAGACACGTCCCGGGGAACCGCAGTGCTCAGAGGTCCGTCCTGTGAAAGGGAAAGGACAGACGGTTCAGGAGCCCAAGCGGGCAGAGAAAAGCGGTCCTGTACTGCTCTTCTTCAACTCGCGGGGAAAGAGCTTAGGCCGGCTGTCAAAATGGACTTTTTCATACCACTGCAAGGGGATGTAGAGTTATTTGAGAAAAAATTAGATTTATTTTGTAAATAAAAAATTCAGAGTTTAAATAATTGCTTCTAACTTCTTGGGAATCGTGTGCTAGATGAAATGGCTGAAAATGTGTGCCATTCTGAGTTTACCTGTTTTTAAGTGAATAGCGAGCAAGCATGATTCTCTGACAGAAGGTTCGTAGGCCTTATGCCAAAAACGGATTAAATTGCTTAATTAAGTGATCAGAGATGACAAACAGGACCAGCTGTAGACCAAAGCCTGGGCCATGTCCGCCGTGCACACGGCGTGAACTATAGAAGTGTCCATTTGGGGAAAGTAATAATTGAAAAAGGCCACTCAAAGAATTTAATAAAGCGGGCAACCCACTTTCAGGATAACCCAATGCTTCAAAACTGTAGCATCCAAAGCTCTAAGATTTTTGAAAAAAGCAACTTTGGATTTGGGGAGTGGTTAGTTTTACATGAAATATTCTTCTTGATTTTCTTTTACTATTAAGCCACATAGATGTAAAGCAAAAATATTATTTGTTCAGATCAAGGTTTTCTCTGAACAGTGTGGAGAAAACCATTTGTAGAACTTTGGGAAAATACCAAGTCCTGGGTTCCACTTGGGCCAGACGGGGTCTGAATGCCCTGGGGCAAGGCCCAGCCGCTATAAAATAGGAATGTTCTTCAGGGGATTCTGACGCCCATTGCTGGCTTCTTGTCACCACAGAAAGGGAACCCACGCATCTAGATTCTAGGTGAGGGTCTAGAAAACTATCTAGATCAATGAGGAGAATATATGGAGTAAGACACAGACGATCAGTAATTCAGTTGAACACTCCTCAGATATTACAACTCTTTATAGACAATTTGGAAATCTCCAAAGCTTTGAAAAGAACAATAAAAAAGACGTCATAACAACTTACGAGTGGCAGAGCCTGCCCTCCCTTCGTTCGGTTTTAGACAAAACCAGATCTGAACTGACATGAGGCTCTTTGTGCTCTTTATTTATCCCGGCAATGTGACGAGTCCTGTTTTGTTATGGAAGCGTGAATGTACTTCATTATGGAGCTGTACCTGCTGAACTGTATATGTACGATGTTGCCTGTTTAGAATCTGAAGAATTCTAATTCTAAAATGTGTAACTTTATTTGCCCCAATAACTTTTGGGTAAGAGATGATAGGCTTGTAGTAAAATGGCTTCTTGTCAGTCCTGCATCAAATTGATGAGGGCATTTTACTCCTTGGTTCTAAATTCTTTGAAGAGAGGGGCCCTAATATGCTTACCTTCTACAATCATAATCTTATATATTGGCTTATTTAAAATAGTATCTCACCCTGGCTGGTGTTGCTCATTTGATTGAGTGCTGGCCTGCAAACCAAAGGGTGGCCAGTTTGATTCCCAGTCAGGGCACAGGTGCCCAGTAGGGGGAGTGTGAGAGGCAACCACACACTGATGTTTCTCTCTCTCTCTTTCTCCCTCCCTTCCCCTCACTCTAAAAATAAAGAAATACAATCTTTAAAAAAATAAAAATAAAATAGTATCAGGGTTCACAGAGAAACAGAACAAATAGGATATATATTGATTTATTCTTGGAATTGGCTCACGGTATTATGGAGGCAGAGAAATCCCATGATAAGCTGTTTGCAAGCTGGAGACCCAGGAAAGCTGATGGTGTAATTCAGTCCAAGTCTGAAGGCCTGAGAACCAGAAGCACCCATGTCCAATGGCAGCAGAATATAGATATCCCAGCTAAAACAACAAGCAAACTTGCCCTTCGACTGCCTTTTTGTTCTACTCAGGGCCTCCACAGAACGGGTGATGCCCCGCAGTCCTAGGGCACTCTCCTTTACTCATTTTACCAACTCAAATGCTGATTTTCTCTGCAAACACCCTCACGGACACACTCATGAATAATGTTTCATCAGCTGTCCGGGCTCCCTTAGTCCAGTCTAGGAGACGGATAAAATTAACCTTGACAAGGCCCCACAACAGCCTTGGGAGGAGTGCAGGGCCTTCCTCGCCCATTGTAAGAAGAACAACCTGAGGCCAGTCACAGTGCTCAAGGGAGAGCTTCATAGTTAGTGCCTGGTGTTTCGGGAATTGAACATTGCTTTGCATTGAGGAGAACTGGCAATGTAGTTTTTTTTCCTGTCAGTGAAGGAGTATGGGGGGAACCCAAACCTCCTTTAAAACAGAAAATATTTAATAAGCACATAAAATGTATAAACATTTTCTAAATCCTATGATTACATATAAGAATCAAGAGATGCAGATTTTATTGATTTTATTTTATGATCAGAGTCATTTTAAGCATGAAGATGAGTGTATAAGGGTAAGATTGCTCCTAAATTGTCATTCCAAAAAGTTTCTTTCTAATCTTCCTGATTTAATACAGCACTTGCCCTCATTTTTATAAACTGTGCACAAATAACAAATGGTTATTTATAGAGGAGAGTGGTGTGGGAGGGGGGGGTTGGGAGGGAAGGGTGGTCACATGTCAGCCCCACTTTCTCTCCCAGGGGACCACACACGGCCCCCAAAGTCCTCTGCACCCCAAGCTGGACCCCATGCTTGCTTCTCTGATTGCTCTGTCTTCCAGAACATATTGGATGCCCAGTGTGCTCACTATTTTCATAAGGTGATTGTCATTTTTCAAGTGCAAGTGTAAGTGAGGGAGGAGGGTTAAAGAATGAGATGGCCTAGCTGGGCCGCAGTCCTAAATGGCTCTGGGCACGCCTGAAACTTCTCTGTGTCTGCTTTTCCATTTGTTGGATGAAGGTCATCAAACTTGCCCAACACTGAATGGCCATGGGTACACAATAACTGATGTCCTAAGAGCGCTTTGAAAATTACTGTACACTTACTGCAAGCGAAGTACTGGTTGAATGCACCGAGTGAATGAAATGTTCCCACAAAAAATTCTGAAAATAGATGATAAATTATTCATTGGAGTAAAACATCATTAATATTAATAAAGTAGGCACATGGCACGTTGGCTCAGTGACTGGACTTCAGAGGGGGCATTCCTGCATTCAGCCTGCATCCTGACTCTGCCCCACTGGGACCTCGGGCCGCTTCCCAGCCTCCCCGCACGGCATGTTCCTGCTCTGTAAAACCGGGAATGCAGTAACACCTGGATCGTGGAGAAAAATGCATCTTAATTGGTTGTCGTTAAATATGTGTTAAGCTCCCAAAGATATGAAGTGAACATCTGATTAGCCTTTTCTCTGCTTCAGATTAATTAAAGGTAGAAATGAGGTGTAGTTGGAAGGGAGGCATTTGTCAACTGCAACCAGCTTCTCTACTTGGAGACTTAACAACAAAACAGAGAATTGATGGGGTTCATTGGACTGTGCACCTTTGAAAACTACTGAAAATCTTTATTTTTTCTGGAATTCTTTCTAGATATTAGTCATGGCTGTCTAGGTTTAATGATGAAAGCTTGCATTCTTTGTTAAAGCACCATGTTCCATACAATGTTAAAGTGAGGATAGTAGAAAAGTTGTAGAAAAACTGAATTGTTCCTGGAAATATGGGGAACTGGATACCAGGAAAAAGCAACAATAACAACCACCACCACTGCAAATATAAACACCTTGGCTATATATATTTATTTTTTAAATCTTGCACATATCATAAAAAGAGCAATATTTTCAAAACCATGTCTTTTTGTTTTAGGAAAGTAAAGAGTATCCTTAGAGATCAAAAATAAAATGGGATGCAGACCCTAATAAGTAAAGAGAAGGATTGCCAAGGACTTCTACCAATCATAAGGGACTTAAGGCTCTTGTTTCCACACTTTTTTGAGGGAAAGGAGACAAAACAAGAGTCCAGACAAGACATGTTGTCAAATCAGGACAGTCAACCTAAATCCAGGAACTCTGAAAAGCTATACTCACAGTGAGAATACTGACTGCAAAAAATTACCCCAAATAGGGAGGCACATTAGAAACTTGGTTGTTTTTTCATAGGTCTGGAAAGAGGAGGAAATGAATT